AAGTGGTGCTTTTAATGGAACCATTACGATAACTTATGAAGTGGTGCTTTTAATGGGACCATTACGATAATTTATGAAGTGGTGCTTTTAATGGGACCATTACGATAACTTATGAAGTGGTGCTTTTAATGGAAGCATTACGATAACTTATGAAGTGGTGCTTTTAATGGGACCATTACGATAACTTATGTAATTATAATAAAGTACATGCCATCAACGACTACATACCTAACTTACATAAAAACAATTCGTATACATACATCTCACACCTCATCTTAAATGCGAAAGACATTTGTAATGCGTACTTAGACTGAAACAAAGACAGTAGCTTTAAATTACAAGTATAGCATAAAAGCAAAAATTCGATTTACTGTTTATTCCTTTACAGAATATACCGTTTACATTCACAGATAAATTTGTAACCCCATTATAAATATATATTATTAAAAGCACGTACTAAAAGTAATATAAAACTAATCCCTGTTTTTCGTTCTCATGGAGAAAAAAAATGCTTTGGACTTTGAAGAGTTTGAAGCTACTGTGAATAATTTCCACTCTTTTCACATAAATCACAATAATCCTGGCGTGAGCACTGAAAAAATGAAATTATATGATTACGCTGCACGTCTTCATCATTGGATCAAAATAATTTTAACTGATCATTTCTCACACAAAGGATATCATTGAGGAAATCGAAACTTAGAATTTTATCCATCCTCTGTCATGCTGGCTGCAAAAGAAGAAAAATAATTATTCGGATTTTAATTAATCATGAAATATGAGTTTGAATCTAAACTATAACGTTTTGGTAGAAGAATGATTTCGTGTGGTTTGTGGTTTTAAAAGTCCTAATTTGGACTGCATTCATGGTCTAAGATTAGTCTTTCTATAGAGCACTAGTTGTGAATGTGTTCTGTGATCCAGAATACATATTTTTTTTATATAGGGCTAATTTTGACTGCGTTTTATAGAAAATCTGTTGCTATGTTGTTCAGCTCTTACAAGTTGATAATGAATTTTAAGTTTGAGATTCCAAAGTCAAGCATATAAATTCCTCGTACATAGTATGCAAACGTCTAGAATGTCAAAGAGCTACTTTTCAAAACCCTGAATAAACTGTGCATATGCGATGACTTTCATATGTTATTTAAAGTTGTTTCAATAAGGTTCAGTAAATGAAAAGGTTGCGAGTTTTTAAGAAGTGCATATGGTCTTGTTAAACTTCTTATTCAAATGTTCTGAAGTTTATGTGTCGCATTTAGTTTAGTAGTTAAAAGTTTAAACACTAGTTTTGCTCAACCTTTTTTCTGGACGGTTTCAATAACACAATAAGTCGAACAACAAATTTTCGATAAAGAGTGGTTGAGCATTATGATGTGTATAAAATTAAGTAAATACGTAAGCATTATAATGAAATAACTTGGAAGTACGTTAGAGAATTATTATTTTGCAAAGCGGATTCACGACGCCTTAGAGTCAACAACAACAACAACAACAAAACAACTAGACAAACTGGACATCTGATATGATCATACTAAAACAAAACAGGTTGAATTTTACTCTTAATATTTTATTGTAATGTAAAAGATATAAACTTGGAGCTTAATTTTCTAATTCGACTCGTGTCAAACAACATATTACAACATCATATATATATAACAGCCTCTTTAGTATTTCTAAATATGTTAATTTGTTTAAAGATAGCGCTATAAAAAAATCCAAAACATCTTGTGTCTCAACATAAAGTACTCACTATTGAGCTCAGAAGAACCCGTTGCTTCTAACTTGGTTAAGCATATACTTATGTTGTAACGTTCGAGTTCTGAGAAGCCTGTTTCGCAGAGTAAAAACCGGTCTGCCTATTTTCTTTGGCCTGATTTGTGTACATAGGGTTAAGTTTACGTCCTTTATATTCTACAGTTGATCTGTCGGTGAAGTTTGACAAGCGAACACGATCCAACAATGACATGAAATTGTTGCGAAGAGATTCGTAATGCTTCGTCAAGTACATTGATTTCTGGTCCGGGTCTTGATTGTCCTGAAATATCAAGCTTAGTTTTATTGTTATATCAATGTTAAGTAAAAAAATTTATCAAGGAGCTGATCTGATTGAGCCATTATTTTGAGCATTAAAGACAAATACAATGACAGTAACAAAAGGTCACTATTTTATTTTGTATAAGCTGCGTGGTCCATAAGCATGATGATTTATTTATGATTGTTTTACTCCTGCCATTTATCACTTTGAGCATAATTATAGTATTGTCAGGTTACAAATCATTGTCACGATCGCCCCCCAGTGGCACAGCGGTATGCCTGCGGACTTACAAAGCTAAAAACCGGGTTTCGATACCCGTGTTGGACAGAACACAGATAGCTCTTTGTGTAGCTTTGTGCTTAACTACAAATAAACACGATTATAGTGAAGGTACAAGTAAACTTCCGACATTGTATTTTACTTGCTGTTAAACCCTTATTGGTTATATAATTCTACATTTCTATGTTGTACACCCACACTAAATGCCTACTTATAAAAGATTGGAAAACATGCATATATCATTAGTTTGATAACCATTTCGAAAACCTAACTGGGAATTTTAGGTTATATAACTTGCACAAAATATTTTTGTGATAAGATACAAAAGTGAAACTCCTATATAATTATTCGGATCGCTCTTATTACATTTTAATTTATGGGTTAATATATTGGTAGATCACGCTATTGGGAAAATATCAGTTTCAAAAATCGTATTAAAAATATTAAAATAATAGATAACAGCAATGTTCCCTACATTTATTGAAATTTGTTGGTGTTCTATTCGTGACGACTTACAGTTTCTTTTCTTTTTGTATTAGCTTCAGTTATTTCTTCTAATAAATTACTTTGATTGATTTTTAGCCGTTTAGTTATGTGCATTTCTTCGTTTTCATTCTCCTCTCCATTCTTGTTTTCAGTCTAATTGTTTGGACTGTCATTCATATTGCTGTGCTATGATTTTAAGTAATTGTAACACTCAGTATATCCATCATATGCACTTTTCCTTTCTTGTTTTTTTTTAATTAAATTTTCTAATTCAGTACAAAACAGCTTACCGTCATTTAGAATCAAATGTATAAGCGCCAAGTATGTCGCTTGTGGTACCATGTCTCTGCATTAAGATATGCAAATCGTTCTTATGGATTTCTATATTATAACCCTCTACTGAATATTTTAATATGTTTGTTAAAACATTGGCAAAAAGTAGTATACAAGAGTTTATGTTGATTTAAAGACATTATAAGAATTGAGTCTAAAAAATTATTGCTGAAGAAATAAAAGAAATGATTAACACAATTCTTGACCATTCGACAGTGCAGTTCTTCCACAGACAGACTTATGGATGAATAAATATTTTAAGGCTATTTTAGAATCTGAGTAGTCGTATAGTGAGGCTGTTAAACAATGTATAGCCAAAACAGACAATACTTCGAAACAGAGAGCTTTCCATATCTATCCTAAGAATGAGAAAACTCAATAGAGGGTTTATGACATCTTAGAGCTCTTAATTAAACTACGTTCTAAATTACGCCTTCATACACATAGTCAATCCTTTAGGTACGAAAGAAGAATATTCTGACCCAAAAAGTCATTATAATGAAAGTGTATATATAACAAGGATTTGAAACCGATGGATGATTACAAGCCGAAAGTTAACAGTCACACCTAGAAATCAACGGGTGTTTTCACGAGAAAAATTGCCGAAAAAACTTAATTACAACAATCTCATCTGACGACATGTCTATCAAGCCTCCCGATGCAGTTTCAATGGGTTTTTGTGTCTTTAGCCTGATTACACGTGGCCCACGAACGGTTGAGGGTCTGTAGCATATTTGTTATTATGCGTAGTTTAAGAATGACCTCCCAGTCCTTTGCAGAAGGTTGTTGCAACAGAAATTGTGATGTCTGGTAATAGTGCGTAATTATATCAGCACGAGACCTAACGTCGTTCTCATAAAGAGCTATCAACTTTCAGCATATATATATATATATTTGAACGTTTTGACGTTTTAAATAGTGCTACCTGAATTTTATGGAATGTATAATGATTTCTTGTTGTACAAATATAACTGCATAGGACTTTAGAAAAACACATTTTTATAAGAATTAAGGCGTAACTTCATTGTTTGCGAGTGGATATGGGCAATTAGCAAGTTAATACGTTGAGTTCATTTTGTCTGTGGAGCAAACAGACTGTTAGAACACATATACATATATCTTGATATACAGTCCCCCGGTGAAACAGCTGTAAGTCTACGGAATTACAACGCTGAAATCCGAGATTCGATTCCCCGCGTTAAGAGTCTGGCATGGTCTGGTGGTTAGGACGCGAATCCGAATCTCTTTCACTGAATATGCTCGTTTTTTAAGCCGTGGGAGCGTTATAATACGACGGTCAATCCCACTATTCGTTGGCAAAAGAGTGGCTCGAGAGTTGGCGATGGGTGGTGTTAACTAGCTGTCTTCCCAGGGGACGAAGTAATGGTAAAAATGCTAAATTACGGACAGCTAACGCAACTAGACAGCTCTCGAGCAGCTTTGCGCGAGACTGAAAACAAACTAAATAAACAAATCCTCCCTTTCAATTTTCAAAAAAATATAGGCCATTGTTAGAACAATATAACATTTTGTTTTGTCTGTGAGAGAGAAAAGTGTAGCCCAAGATTAGATATAAGTAAACAGCTCATTTTAATGTTAAAACATTGTCTTGGTTTTCAGAAGAACATTAATAAATACAGACTATTTTTATATCACTCTTTTTTTTCAAGAGAAGAAAGGATTGTTTTGTTTGTTTTTGAATTTCGCGCAAAGCTACACGAGGGCTATCTGCGCTAGCCGTCCCTAATTTAGCAGTGTGAGACTAGAGGGAAGGCAGCTAGTCATCACCACCCACCGCCAACTCTTGGGCTACTCTGTTACCAACGAATGTTGGGATTGACCGTCACATTATAACGCCCCCACGGCTGAAAGGACAAGCATGTTTGGTGGGACGGGGATTCGAACCCGCGACCCTCAGATTGCGAGTCGAGCACCCTAACCACCTGGCCATGACGGGCCGAGAAGAAAGGAAGTTGTAATTAGCTTATCTACTAATTTGGAACAACATATTTAAGTAACAAGACACAGGCCATTAGAAAAGTAATATACACTTGTTCGATTAAAAGTACCGTGTTTATTTACAGAGTAATACATTCTTATTAATAATGTGTTAGGAGGGGCGACAGAACATCGATATAGTTAGTTGTCTCTAGTACTCTTTTATTGATTATTTTAAATTTAGTCTTTGATCAGTTTTGTTGTTGGATTTGAATCACTGTGAAAATATGAACGCTTTTAAGCATATTCAGGTTTCGTGTATTGATAAACTGTGTGGATTTCAAAACCAATCAACCCGTTTTTTTAAATGACATATTCCATTTTCAAGTAAGGAAGAACACGCTGAATGTTGTCAGATTAGCAACTAAATACTGTTGTTAATATGGGGCAGGTTATTTAATAAGGTAGTAGAATATTGACTAATGTTTGTTTAATGTGATGCAAAATCCTTTACTCACCACTAATAACATAAAACAGTTTAGACTATAACCAACGTTAGAAAGAGGAGGAAAGTAATGAATAATAACCAGCTAATAAATAATCCCAGTAAGTGAGGGAGAACACTGTATATTAGTATATTAATAAACAATGTTGGTAATAACTATTGTTGTTAAGAGGGGAGAACATTAAATATTAGTAGATTAACTGGAGTGTCCATCCCCCTGGACGGAAGCTATGTAAATTCATGATTAATGAAAGGTTATCTTAGGACATGAAAAGTTGCTTTCCTTATATGTAATTTTAAAAAACGCTCATAAAAACTGCAAAACACAAAACGTGAAACCGCAATTTCGCAAGTATCTCTGCATGGATCAAACAAATCTTCATGCGAAATTTGGTGAAGGTCCATCAACAGGAGGCAAAGTAGTGGTAAAAAATGCAAAAACGCCCATAAAAACCGCAAAACGCAAAATGCATAACTGAAAATTTGTGTTTATCTCCCCATGGACCCAATGAACCTCCATACCAAATTTGGTAAAGGTACATCCACACCCTGCGAAGTAGTTACATGGACATAGAACAGACAGTACTATTATATTTATATAGATTAATAAACAACATTGATGAGTATTAAGTATTTCCAAATTAATAAGCAATACTGGTAAGTTGGGAGAACATTGAATATCATTAGGTTAATAAACAATGTTGATAAAAGGGGAGAACAACGAATATTAGTAGATTAATAAATACTGTTGGTAGCTAGTGGAAACCATTGAATATTAACAGGTGTCACAGTTAAAATAACTGTTAATATTAGGTTTCTATAACTAGTTTAAGTATATCTTATATTCGGGCTTTTTTTTTAATTTTATGCAGGTGTTCTGTATTTAGTTATGACACCCTTGTTCACTGGATATCGTAAGACCGTAACATGTACGTATCCTTTTCCTTAAAGGTTACAGATGCAGTATTCGCTCTTAAGTCTCAATCTACAGTGTAAGCTTTTCTCTATGGACTTTGAGATAGATCGCCTTTTGAGAAATGTGTTACAGAAACCTTTAAAAGTGGCTTCAGATGGTTAAAATTGTATGTAGACTAGTAGTTGAAGTACGTAACCTAGCGGATTGTAGGATACCTTAGTAAGGCTTTAAATGACTATAAAACCGAGTAATCCACACAGATATGGATATCTTCCTGTTTCTACCTTGTGTAGACGTTTTGTTGTGAACGGGCCCGGCATGGCCAGGTGGTTAGGGCGCTCGACTCACAATCCGAGGGTCGCGGGTTCGAATCCCAGTCACGCCAAACATG